GTAAATCTTCAGAAATATTTTTCGTATTTATGTATTGATCTATTTATCTATGTATCTATTTCTGTGTTTTATCTGTTATGGGTTTTGTTTATGCTATTTAATTTATTGATTTATTCACAAAAAGATCGATAGAGTTTAACTGAACGCAAGAATTCTGTGTATCAATGGTTATATTTCAGTGTCCTGTCATTCTTGTGAACATGCTAGCAGACCGTCTGGTTGTAACCACACAAAGATATGTGAAGGAGGACAGGTACTTCGTTCGATCTTCAGACAAACTTAACAACTAAACATTAACTGCATCTTATGCGTCTTTGTATTCTGTCGATACAAATTATCGATGTAAATTGTAGATCTATTGATCTCAATGACTTTAACAAATACTTATCGTTCTAATGGTAGGGCCTTTAGACATAGGAGTATGCACGTATTAATTGTACTAGTTTGGACTAGTTTTAAAGGATTCCGGAAGAATAAGGTTTTTTCTCCTGCACTTCTTACCATCATACAACAATCCATCGAAACAATGTAATCATTGGTGTAGTTAAGGGTTAAAGACGACTGAGGAAAACCAAATGTCGTCGAAACAGATGTCAAAAACTAGCTTGGAAGTGCGATAATTTCAGAATACAATAAGTTTCGTAATTTCCTATCATAATTGAATGATTTTCAAAGAAGTGAATGTGTCTGATTTTTAATGGCAAATGTTCTTCATACGGTACTCCGGTACTCTAAAGGGCTCATCTGTGCTCTTCACCTGGGAAAGAATTTGTGACTTAGTTTTATCAGTGTATATTTGAAATTCTTCACTGTTAATGTTTTGATTGATATTGATGTTGATTGTAAACGTTTTGTCGTTTTAGCTTTGTTTCTCCTTGAAGACGATCAGTATGATGCTTGAACATGGATACCGACTGGGCTGTATGGATAAATATGTACGAATCTTTATTGGTGTCAAGGCCAAGCTTTTAAATTGCATTTGTTTCTCATCCCAATGCATTTGGCAAGTCTTGAAAACTTTCTATACAATTTATGTTACATGTAATAACACCCCAACTTCCATCACACACACACACACACACACACACACACACACACACACACACACACACACACACACACACACACACACACACACACATCTTGCTAATGTGAAATTTTAGAAATGTATGTTTTTCTACCAAAATGGATGTTTGTAACGTCATTTTCCAGATATGTGACAGTTTCCATAAAGAGGCTCCGATGGCATTCGGTCGTCGAGGACAGACGATAGAATTATCTCTAAACGGTGGCTGTTGTTCCACCGATCTATGTAACAACAGGGAGATGAATGGTGTTGTAATGCCACTTCCAGTGTCGACACAATCTATTACGTCAACGATGACGACACCATCTGTCTCGAGAACATCAGCAACAACAAGGTGTAGTGTATAATCTCCTCCCTCCCAAACTAAGAAAAATCAACTTTCCCGAAAAACAATTCCACGTTTGCATTGATAATAAGTACGTTTCCTCTGAAATACATCTAGAATATTGTCACCAAATCGATGCAAAAAGACAAATGTTGGAATAGCGATGATGGATCTTAGGTCAAAATCACTGTTATTAGCTCAGGTCTATATCAGGTTTATCAGAATAGATATCTATTTGTGTGTGTCATTGTAGAAAGTGTTGTTATTCAAATATTGATTTCATTTTAAATCAACTCTTTCCAGTATCTAGTTTTGGTGAGATTGTCATTGAAAACTTTAGTTTTATAGAACGAAAATTCGCGATTGTAAAATTTGAATTTTAAACATATGAAGCTTGGCGAGAATAACCCACAATCATACTAACCTTTCTGTATAGAATGAATTTTTTTTCTCGTCAATTACGAGAACTGAAATTTGGGCAATAGAGTTTGAAATAAAGTGTTACCTGGAGTATCCTATTACAGTATGTCCAGCCAGCACTGATTGTGCCGAGGGCTTCACACGTCATGGAACTGATTGTTACTACGCGAGTAGACAAAGCATGGCATGGATAGACGCTAAGGTAAATGCAATCACAGCTGATTTGGAATCTGTTCTTACAAGATGTTCATAGTAATGAAATAAGTTCTGACAAGAAGTACAAAGCATAATATGTCTTTTTCCCCAGAGATACTGCAATGAAAAATGTGCCGAACTTGTAAAATTTTCGACAACAGATTTTGCCCTTGAGATTTTACAACAGCTATATCGCATTGGACGACGTGAGTATAATTTGTATTACTTTGTTTGATATTTACATTCCTGGTATGGTGTTGATTTTGTTAATTTGATACTAAATTGAACAGAAGTTCTTGAGCATTGTAAGATGTGGAATTAAAATTGTCTGCCGATGTGGTATTTAAATATTGAACTGGTTTAGTTGCTATTCACGAGCATATAAATGCCAACAGGACAAGGAATAAATCATTGAAGCGTGAATGCATTTCATAGTTTGCCTATATTCATTTGAAAACAGTTCACTGCTTATATTTATCACTGTGATTTTTTCTCTTGATGTAATAAAGCAAGGTAACCTCATGTTTATTAACATAACTGACTATAGTAAGATTACATTGTGACTTTTTGATCCTACATAAAGATATTGAATATTCTTTACAGTTTTTACAGGCTTCTTTTCAAATGCATGGCTAGGTAAAGAAACAAGTTATCGGACGGACGACGAATGTCCGTAAGTCGTGTACACCATTTGTTGTTCGTCCGGATACTTTTTTCTTTGAATATTAGTTCACAACTGCTGTTTAAATAAACTTGGTCTTGAACAATTTTTAATGATATAAAGGTTTCGTTTCATATCAACTGTGCAATGCTAGCTTCTTACGATTAACTGATAATTTTTTTTATACATTTGTGTTCAGATCTACTATCACGTTCTCTAAAAGGACACACTCTTTCCACTTTCACGTTTGGTAGTCACGTCTCTTTAAGTTTCCGATTTTTTTCATGGTGTTTGTAATGTGTTTTGCCATTCTTTCAGTCGCAAACATGTATTATATTGACGCTCAGTACATTGCCAGTTCGGACAGTTGGAAATGGAGCAGTACTGGTGAATCTGTGCAGTTACCTCTGCTTTCGCCTTCTGACAATTCCACTGACGGTTTTTGTGGTGCAGTCGGGATTCAGCGATATTTTAACGGATTAGGTGTATTTTTCAGATCAACTACATGCTCAACAAAGCTCTCCCCAATTTGTCAAATATCCATCGAGAAATAATGAGGAAAATGATCTTTACCAATAAAATGTTTCTATATATATATATTTGTTTTGTTTACACTGTTAATGCTGTTATAAAAGAACTACAAATTATGGCAGTAGATACCTGCAAATTTTGAGGTCCCGTTCCCTTGAAATACGTACAATTTGTCGAACAAATATACAGGGGAAAAACCCTTTCACAAACTATAGTTACAGTTTACTGTCCACGGCCGTCAGCATGCCTTGGGAGCTGTGTGGGAAACCTGACGAATTATGAAATTTCCCTAACTTTTCTACTAACCAAAACCAGACCATCAGTTGACTTTATCAGCACTGACACTCGTTCATAGATATCGTTCTCCAAGTTACAGAGTCACAGCTGTCACTCGTGTGCTTATGTATGATTTGGTCCATATATCGCGTCACCACAATTTTCAATAACATGTTGTGTAATGATTGTGCAAAGATTGTGCTGACGTCACGATTTGAGTGATATAATTGGTATTGCGAAACATTAATTTCACATTTTGATTTGAATAAAAAATAATTTCATCAGGAAAATATATATATTACAGATATTATTCTTGGTATTGTGTCATGACGTCAGTATTATTTTATATGTATGACGTTATAATGATTATTTATGACGTCATAATGATTATTGATCTCGTCAAGTAAACAGTAATGAAAAATAAGCATTCCGCCAGCCATTTTTTATTGCATTGTTCATCGAAAAGGAATTTCAATTATTTAATATCTATACGCTGGATCTGACATATAAGAAAGTTTCCATTGCGTTTGTGATTTCATGAAACGAATCTTAGAAGTGTTTGCTAAACTTGGCGATCAAATGATAAAGCGTCGAGACGAGTTTCATAAATATCATATGAAATGAAAACAGATCAAAGATACTTTTTTTGTCTCATAACTGGAAAATGTTATATTTAAACAGATTATAAGGTCAAAATGGGAAGGACTAAATAAACCAGAGGGAGTTATTTTTTTTTTTTTTTTTTGCGCCATTTTCAATTAATGACGTAGTGTCATTATTACGACAGCATAATCGAATTCTGATTCGTGCAGACAATTAAACACATACAAAACAAGTACTTAACCATTACAAGTGCTAATTCACTAAAGCAGTTATGTCCTAAAATAGTATTTCGAAACGTGAACATTAATTCTATTTATACACGAACTGTCATGTCAACATGATTATATATTCTCTAACCTTGGATAGGTGGAACAATGGAGGAACAATTCATTGACGTCACACCAACAATTTAAAGCGTTGATATGACAACGATGTTACACATACAGAAACCCAAAAAGAGAAAAAAAAACTGATAATTAAACCCTTTGAGGGTTATATAGGATTATCTCAACCCCCGAGGAAAAATTATTAAATGGTAATTACTGGCCGACATGCCTCGTGTTTGCCCACTGAAAAAAATCTTCAGCAACAGTACTAATACATTAAGTAGTTAGATTACTTTTATGTTATATTAAATAATGACGTTACTGATGGAGTGAGCTGTTAGTTTATGTAATTATGACAATCGTCTCTTGGAACATTTATCTAGAATTCGCGCGTGATTTGATAATGACACTTATGAAATTGTAATACATTGATAGAACTATCGGTTTATTTGGAAGTAAGACGAAGGTCAAAATGCGTGCCAGCGAGAATTGGAGATAAGGTTGTGCCACCAGATAATAATCTCTTGATGATCTCGGGCAAGTTCAGTCTACTCTCAGCAGTGCAGCCCGATCAAAATGCTTGTCGTGCTCACAGGTAAATGTCGTTATATCTTTATTATTTGTATCATATATGTTAATATCTTTTAACGAATGTTAGTGATAACGAATTCGTTTCGAAAAAGAAGATAATATAGATAAAAATGAATCCTGTCTAATTATAGCGGAAGATAATCTTGATTAAGATAACGTTTTTGAACTTATTTGTGATGTAAAATCATTAATTTTCATGGGATGTTTGTTTATTGATGAATTCATGTTTGGTTACTAATGATTTAAAAAAAAAATGTAAGGAGATAAAAATTGACATAGACTTATGTACATTTGGACAATGTGATATATCCAAGAAATTAAGCGCCAATGAAAACAAAAGTTTTATAAAACCACGAAATTTGGGCCTCATAAAAATGAAATTCTATTGTATTCAAATTGATTGGAAATTCCGATCATTCTATTAATTTAAGTATTGTCTTCGGGTAATATGGCTGTAAATATGATGTTGTCTTTCCTTTTGTTTCGTTGATTTCTGAACCTTTTCCAAAACGATTGTACAGTTTTTTAACTAAAATTTTCGTTTTGATGAAAGTGACTACTGTAGACTTTCGGTTTCTAGTGTTGTCGTTAGCCGTCAGTCTGACCAATGGTCAAGGAACATGCACAGATGCTGTAGACTCAAGCATCTGTCGACTGTTGGCTTCAGAGTCGTTCGGACTTAAAACTGTCTGCACGGACCCTTGTCTTGCAAAGACATGCCAGAAAACATGCGGAAAGTGTCGTAAGTAAATTAGCAAAACTCAATTTGGTAAGCAAATGCAGGAATCACTTAGAAATATGTGCAGTGAATGCTACACTGGTGTAAATTATAACATTTCAAATATAAAATCGCTCTCCTCATGGACTCACAGAAATAAGAGCCACTGAAGAGGAAAATGAGTTTTTAGTGGACATATGTTGGTTTACTGTAACCTCTAATGCGTTCGCTATTTCATGGTCAGGTGCATATAAAGTTTCCCGTTCTTCCGTCATAATTCCGTTTCCTCTCATTTACTCTTTAACTGATACAGCTATAGAAGTGTGGTCTGTTGTATAAAGATCATTTGAAGGTCAGGTTTTGTTTTGTTTTGTTTATGGTCAAGAATCATTTCAAGAGTTACGGCCAAATATCATTACGATAACAGCAACAAACCCTGTACGAACAATATTAGAGAATCTTGCTCAAGTTATGATTAAAGAAATCTGGAGGCAGAACTTCATTTCTGAAAGACCGGACTTCAAAACAAACATCGCCTAACTTCTCATTCATTGACATCGTATTCCTCAGGCACGCCTAGTTTCAAAAATACAAACTAATTTACTTATTTTAGCACTAATTTTGAAACTAAAAACGTAGTCGTGCACATGTTAAAATATCTTTTATATCATTAAAGACGTTTTCCATACATTTTGCAATGTTTAAAAAAAATGGTATCAAATTATAAATCAAGACGCCATTTTCTCTTGACAGCACTACAGTGTTACTCTTGTCACAGTGTGACGTCACCAAGTGACTGTACCACCCTTACCACTTGTCCGTCAGGGGATCACGTAAGAAAAGATATATTCGTATTTGAACTCATAATAACACTTATTATTTACGTTTTCGACTAAACTATGTAATTATTCGTGGTTTGAAATATTGGTAAATAATAAAATCGATTCTCGAAAAGAAAAAAACTATTTTTTTTAAAAAATCCCCACCTATTCCGACTTACAATTATCCATGGTGTTAAAATATGACATGGTATGAACTGATAATTTCTTAAACTGGTTGTTGGAACATCCAACAAAAGCAGTAATTAAATTTACACTACCATACAATTACTTAATTTGATCATGACTTCTTTTCAGAAATGCATTGTGACTGAATCTTATAATGACGATTTTGTGAAGACGTACGCTCTTGGTTGTGCCCTTGAAAACGTAAGTAATTCAATTAGAATCAAAATAATGTGTATTCATTTGGGAAAGCTCCAGTATGATAAAAAAATTCCTAAATCAGAGTCGTCAAACTTATTTCAGTGTGCTGTGTTTTAATTGCTCAAGTGCAAACGTGAAAAGACAATATGATTAAAACAATATATAATATAGTTAATATAAGTTAATTAATAATAATGATAAGTTATTTTGAAGTAATCCGAAGATATTTTATGACCAAGATATCATTTTGCTAATTGTGACAAGTGTTATAATGTCCTCAGGTTTGTCAGAACAACTTTGGAGGAACCACAGGTAAACGATCTGTATTGGACGGTAGCTGCTGTAGTACTGACCTCTGTAATTACAACATATCCAGCATAACACCGCCTCTTGCTGGTAAGACTTTATACCTTGTTCTCATTTGAAAGCGTGATATTGCTAACTTGTATTGACCAAGGTTTATATAATAATAAACTTTATTTATTTTACAACAATTGCGAAACGAGTTATGTCAATTTATACTAATCACTCTTGTTGGCCCGGATGTAGGCGCGCGAGGGGTCTTATTGTGGGAGGAAACCGGGAAAACCCACGTGATCGGGCAGGTGACCTCTTACCTTTTCGCGTTCGTTCCGGGAATCGAACCCCGGTCGGCTAGGTGAAAGGCGAGTGCGTTACCACTGCGCCACCCGACCACAAAGGTTTACATGGTGGATGTCGTCGATGAAGCAGAAGACGCTTACTCTTCAGGAACACCTGTTCTTAATCTTATTGTACATTTTGAGGAGTCTTCGTGTAAATTATTCTTTTGTTCATATATTTCCCTATTGTTATTGAATCAGGATTATGAATATGTTGACAAGTTTGCACTAACTTGATTTTTTAACTGGCCCAGAACTGCAATGTACAAAATACAAAAACAATCGCTCCTATTCATATAGTTAACAACTGGCAAATTGAACTGTCGTAATGCACACTTTGTTTGTATACATTCCATTTTATTATGTGCGATATTTTTTACATTTTTAAAAACATTTTTTCATTAAGTTCAAATTAGGAATTCAATTTAGGTACGGTTAATTATATAATTCCATGGAAGTACTCTTGTAGGAATTATCTTAACAACACCTGCTGCGGTTGTCGCCCCAGACGCATCGATTGCACCTGCACCTGTGGCCACCACCAGAGGTCCCTGTGCCGATTTTAACAATGAACTTTGCACTCAACTTGCGTTTGCTATGCCTGATATTTGTACAAACGATTGCATCGCAACCAAGGTGTGCCCATCCATGTGTGGAAAATGTCGTAAGTAATCTGTCATTAATCTTAAAAATCATTATGTAATACATTCATTCTTCAGCAAGAAACATATCATTATTTTGATAGTAACTGGTGAAATTAAGTTAAATGAACTCTCTACATCAACCTGCTGGTAGAATGATAGGTCGATGGCCAACATGAAGTTATATAAACCCACTTTCAGTTTGAAATACCTATCAAATATAAGTAAAAGGAATTAGGACATGCTGATTTGTGAATTTACTAATTAACTTTTAATATTGGACTCATAGACGTCTCCTAGTCGACATCTATTTAAGATACATACTTATTTGTACTACTATCAAAACAACATCAATTGCTTCGTGTTACGCGTGTATGTTTTCTCTTTGAAAGTGTCGTGTTTCAACTGTGACAATGTTAATGATCCCTCTGCCTGCACATCCACTGTTACCTGTAACCCTGGCCAGGTAAGTTAGTTACGACGATAAAAAAATCTATATCTATTGTAAATCAAACCTTTGACGATTTTATTTTTATTCTTAGAATACATCGTTGTTTTTATTTCGTCGCAAAATGGCAAGGAGGAATCAATAAAAATAGTTGTGAATTGTAAAGATAGGCTTACCTTGTTCTCATTTTGGAACATGAAATTATCTACTTGGATTGATCAGATTTATATGGTGGTTGTCGTCAATGAATCGGATGATACTTGTCCTTTCGGGATAACTGATCTTATCGAACTTTACATCTTATTTTGTGTTTTTAGTTTGCCCTAGCTTCATCAAATTTGAGTGTAAAGTAAGATTTTGTCGATCAGTCTTTTTTCATTGTTATTTTTTGGTAAAAGATGTTCAGGACTATATTTTTACTTCTGACAGCGAACAACTGACACTTAGTTCATATACTTCATAAGTATTTCTCTTTTACCTATCAAGAACAACTTGAATACATTCTTGTAAATAAATAAGTATGGACGTCAAAAGAATAAAAAGTACCAGAAACAGTAAGAGTAATATTGCGTTTGATTTTTTTTTACTACACAGAGATGCTACATCACGGAAACTTACAACTCTTTGACATTTGAACATGGATTCCGAACGGGCTGCATTGACGATAAAGTAATTAGCTACAAGAAAATAATTCACTTTCATGGAAGATTTTTTTTTCATTTAGTTTGATACTCTTATTACAAGAATTCATATGTCAAAGAATTCTCAAGATAAGTATAAGTAAATTCAATGAGCAATATTTATCCTCAAGATCAAGTACCCTTAAAATAGTCAGTTTTGACAGGAACCCCGAAAATTGAACCTCGCGAAAAAAACATAAATTTCGCAATGTATAATTTCATCAAAAACTATAATTATTTACAACGTACATAACTTTGGGAGATGATTGATATAACAATTATAATGGTTTTAATGACAGTTTCTTTTCTTCGAATTACAAATATTATCTCAACAAGGTCGTTCACAGCAAATATACATTTGTGACGTATGTACAATAAGCATGTCAAATTATGTTTCAGTTTAGAATTAATTTTCAAAAATCGTTGAAAAATTTGAAAACTTCGCTTAATACAACTCCGTTCTATATTTTGTGAAGCATTTTCGTTTTTCCTACTTCTACACACACCATTCAAGAATTTTGTGAAATGATATAACAAAAAAATCCAAGCAGCACAAAGCTGTCTTATGATGCAATTTTATTTATTTTCGTTTGTATACTGTACCAAAATTAACATAACATTTCATAACAGTCTTTTCTCCGAATGAATTAGAATGTGTGGAAAATATTTCTAAAGATTAATCTAAGATGTCACTATTACCTTTGTGTATATACAGCTCTGCTCTAACCTGACCGTCGGAGGCCCAGTTGATACAGTTGGTCCTGCACTGATTGGACGAAGATCTCATTTCCACTTCTCTCTGGACGGAGATTGCTGCGCATCTGATTTTTGTAACGACAGGATCCAGACGACAGTGGCGCCTGTAGTAACTACACCCGCACCAGTAGGCACCATGCAGCCAAGTGGACCTTCAGTCACCAATTCACCAGGTGGACCCATGGTTACCAGCCAGCCAGGAGGAACAAACGTAACCCCAAATCCTCAGGGTAACAATAGCAGTCCTTCTTCAACTTTAACAATACCCCATTTACTGTCATCGCTAGACTTGATATGTTTTATTGCATTCTATTTAAAACTGATGACCAACGTTTGCTGACACTTGTCACGTGACCGTCGATGTGACAAAATATCTTCACATAGATCTTTGTTTCGTATTCTGTCTCCTATGATCGCCCATGTAACTTTCCTAACAACGTTTTGAAACGTGTATTTATCATTTACATTTAATTTAATTAAATTCTAATTTCAATCTAATTTATTACATTTTTGGTAAGTGGTTTTGTTTTACAAAGTTAAGTTTTCCGGTCTATTTATCCTTTGTATTCGTTTACTTTTTTTAGTCCATTATTTCAAAGAACCCTGATAAATGATTGATGCTTTTAGCAGTAGAGCCTTTGATTTAAATGAAAATCAGATTAATAGCGTCTATCCTCGGATAACATGATGACGGGATGTAATTGTTCTAGGGGGATATTTCCTTGTCCAAAAATTGGTCGTTAGCGTTTGTTAAATATATAGCTTATGGGCTCGAGCCAAATTGACACTGACTTATAGGGAAATAAACAATGTTGCTAACAGATGGCTATGTATTTTGATTTTAACTGTTTAACTTGGATTTACTATGTCCTTAAAACCATTAGATGAATATCAAATTTTATTTGAAGGTATCCCTTAGTTGCAATTTTGGATCAGTCGAAAGCAAATAACTGACGATATCCTTCTTGGATATTTACATCAGAAGATTTCATTGATGAATACACATTGAAGTATCGATCTCAGATAGCATATGCTAGAATGGGTTACCAGTTTTGATGATGTTCCCTCTTGGTTTATTTAGCTGGCTGTACAACAAATATTAGGAAAGATGACAAAAGATAAGATAATTTTATACTTAAATAGCCTATTAGCATTGTAATCTAAATGAAGGAGTGAGTTGTCAGTTTGGTGACCTGGAAATACCACGTGTCAAAAGCTAAGAATGAAGACCATGCGATGCCAGGCACTAGAATATCCACTGTTTGATCTCTGGCATAAACCACATCCTCAGACATCCTCAAGGGTTATGATATTGTCATTTTTTCTCTTAAGCCTTGAAGCAGATTGATTACAGAGTTTAAAAAATGTTAGGAAATGTTTACAAATGTACCAGAGAATACTTCTGTCTCTTCAGAGCGTAGTTAAATTTGTAAATGTTCTTGAACAGGCTGCAGCTGGAGCGGAGATTGTCCACCAGGGTTCCACCCCTACCAAGGCAAATGTTACAACTTTGGTGATGTGGAGATGGAATGGGATGATGCTCTGGTAAATATTAAATCAGCTGGCTGGCGTGCTCATGGGTATATAGCTTATGCGATATTACATGAAATAGTTGTTGTAATATGAATAGTATGATATTTTAGTACGAAAACAAGTTTTGTTTTTTTAGTTCAACTGATTGCTGGGAGTAATGCTACTTACTCTCTGTGTATATTTTTTGTAAATTTTTCTTTGCATTTAATGGGATGTAAAAATGCAACTGGACAGTAAATATTTGTGATATTACTTGAGTACCTACAGGTATGATCAATAGTACCTGATCACATACACATGGATACCAGCCCACTTATACCCCCGTATACATCAATACCTATAACACCTGATGACATCTTCGCCCCACTGAAGCAATTCAATCTTGTAATACTTCGATTTTAATGTTGTACCAAGCTGTAAGACTGCCTTAGCCATATGGATTGTTTCCTCAGAAAGTCAGTCATGCTATGGTGAGCCTGTCAACTTTGTTCCTCTGTCACAGAGGCTCTAGATACTATATTGTTGAATAGAAGCCCTCTGTGGCATCTGAAATTGTTAATTAATAAAAACATTTTATAATTTATTCTTTTGTTTGTTTTTAGGGCTATTGCAAGCAAAGGTGTTCCTATCTCGCTGAACTGAAAACTGAAGACCAACTAGAGGCAGTCATGAACCATTTCCGTAAAAATCCCAATACAGGTATTTTGAGTTTAGTTCGGTTATCTCCCCAACATGCAGTTTTTGAACATGGTCTTAATATCTGTTCCCTTGAATACTATTGCGTATGCCGGCGAAATACAAATGCAAATGCAAAATACTTTTCTTCGGACGGTTAACCATGAAGACTACACCCTGCCTTCTAAAAGGTCAAAATGTAAATATTTTCTATATTTACTATGTATTTTATTATGATATTGCGAATAGACAATGACAACTGTCTTCCAATTTCTCAAAATGGCCGCCATTGACTCCTTTTGCAACAGCAGAGGTAGTGTGAGGGACATATATAACGTACCAATTAAAGATACATGCAAGTTGTAGTTGTCCTACATCTAGTGACCTTCGATTCAATTGGTATGTTCCTGATGGGAAGGGGGACACAGAGTGTCATCTGTTTTCAGTTCCATTCCGTTGCGTTTCACTGAGTCGGTCCCATATTCATAACACTACTCTAATAACTTACTTACCTTTGGGTATTTGATGACAATCTATACAAAAGTAAATAATAATAATACCTCTCAAGAGTACGTATATCAGGTTTCTATGGTTAAGGTCAAGTGGTCACTATCCAGTAAAGAGGCCCAGTCAGTAACATAAAACAAAAAAAAACTTTCCCTTTTTTTATCAAATTTATGAAAAGTGGGTTGAGGAGAAAAACGAAAAGACTTGTGTTTCAAGGTTCAAAAGTCAAGGCCAATGCTACTATTCAGCGTAAAATATATAAAAGAGTCACAAGATCTAGGTCACCATTGCTATTAATAGATATTTGTCAAACCATGATACTGGTGCTGGTGCAAAGGCATATATATTTCTTAAGTGGACATAATTTAATCTTTATTTTGAAAGTGTATTCTGTATTGATAATTGATTTCGCAGTCAGCTTTTAAGGGTCATGAAGAAAAGGTCACACATACACGTACAAAAATATTTATTTTGATAACACTCTCGTCCAGAAGGTGGATTTGACTTTTAATCAGTGGAGACTTAACTCTATATATGGCAATGTAATGCATATATCCAATCAAACGCTCGACTGTTCGAGCGTCCTGGACTTATAATCTTTTGTATGTAACCATACTTGAAAACAATGTTTGTTTATGAACATGATATCGTACTGGCGATGTTTACTTTCAATTTTACCCTATTTGGGAACATGTGAAGTTATCTACATTTATATGATTTTGTTCGTGCAGACTATCAACCATTAAACCGTAACTTAAAGAAATGGGCGATAGCAATATTGGATGATATACGCGACTGTGCAGTTGTACAACGCGAACAGTGTCCGACATCTACACTGGGTTATATTTAGTTAGAATCTGCATCAATATGCTTATAATAACGCAAATTTCGTGATGTCATTCTATGATAATTTAAATATCATTATGATTCTCTGATTCATGACATTTTAGACAATTCTATGTGGACTGCATATTCAACAAAAAAGATACTGTAAGTTCAACCACATTAATTTTCCACGGTAGCATTTTGATTAAACAATTTAGCGAGATGCAACGCTTAACGCAAATTCAGAAGGGTAAAGCAATTGCGTATTGGTGGATGTTTATAGCCTAACTGCTGTCGCACGGCAGTTTGGCGTTGCCCGTGTAAAATTAACCGTGCCTATACACGTTTCCATGCCACTGAGTAAGTTTCCGATCGTCCGAGGAGTGATCGTCCGTGTGTAACGACCACACGACAAGACATGGCGATTCGATTGTCACACTTGCGCAACAGATTCAAGACTGCTGTAGAGACTGCGTCGCATACTTTCGGTACTCATGGCAGACCCATTAGTGCTCAAACTGCCAGGTACCGCTTGCGTGCCGAGAGAATCATTGCGCGCCGACCTTATTTCACCTCTGACACCACGGAGGCGGCAAGTGCGTCTTGACTGGATGCGCAGACATGGCCAAAATAGGTTTGGGATGCGTCGGTGGAGGCGTATGATGTTCATCAACGAGTCTAGAGTCTGTCTGTATCAATAGACGGAAGAAAAGGGTATATCGCAGACGCGGTGAGCGTTTCATCGACGCATGCGTGTTTGAACGAGATAAATTCGATGGGGCTTCTGGAATTGTTTGGGGAGGCATCTTCCATGGAGTAAAATCACCCTAAGTTGTCCTGGATCCAAATTCGATGCCGTTCGATACAGAGACCAGATCGTCCAACCACATGTTCTTCCACATCTAAGACGTCATAACCTAATTTTCCATCAAGGCAATGCTCGACCGCATGTAGCCAGAGTCTGTCGTGATTTTCCCACAGCGAACAACATGCAGCCTCTGGAATGGCCCCCATATAGCCCCTACATATCTCCTAAAGAGCATCTGTGGTATGAGCTTGACAGGCGTATTAGGAAAGGTCAACAACTCCCCCCACCCCCTTCACCACCCCCCATCTCCCCAGTTGATCGCAGCATTAACACAAGAATGTAACAACATTACCTGAAGGCAAATTAATGTTCTCAAGAACAGTACAGGGAGTATTTCAAGAGGTACCCGCACCAGGTACTGAAGTGTCATTTTGTTTTTCGCGGGTATCCCACTTTGAGTAACTACTGACGACACGAGTGACGTTACACAGACGTTGTAAAGAGTAGATTTGTTCCTTAACATTGATATGAAGTTTTGTACAACTTTCCCGAAATATCATAGGCTCTTGACTGCAAAATTTAATTGTGCGTTTTTGTTTTTGTTTTTTTTTTTAGTATCTATACATAAACAAATTACCCCGATACAGGTAAATCCTTTGTATACAAATTAATTTCCAAACCACCTATCAATACTGCTACTATTATGGTCTGCATTATGTCATTACATTATACTTTATTTATACATGTATTTTATTTGTTGCTGCTTTTGAAATTGGTCTGTTGCTTAGATAGTACGTGTCGCTTCTTGCATTAAGATAGAAATTTTATTTTTTTCATGAAAATCACGCGAAATATCCATGCTATATGCTTCTGTTACATGAAGATTTTTGAGTAAATGAGTGTTAATGTAGATTTTCGAAACGTATCTTTAGGTGATTTATCTACACTAGAAAGAAAATTATAGAAACACTCATGAAACAAGATAAAAAGTAGTTTTATTGTTCCTAAATAATAAATTATAAAAATGAATATACATACAGGCTTATTACCAGCTTCCTTTTCAGGGTACACTACATCTAAGGATTATTTCACTGGGGCGCTGGAAGTTGGATCCAGCGGGGTATATAGGTGGATTTGGTTTCACAGTCAAGATTCCGTTAGTCCCACGTTAGTTGTATCTTATCTAAACAGTGGTAATCACTGTAGTGTCGTCAGGCATTTCGGAGGGCTGACCTTTATGTTAGGGCACACACATTGTAAACAATTATTTCCACCCATGTGTGAAGTTATGATGTCCCTTTAATCGAGGTTTGTATATCGAATGCACGTGAACCTATATAAACATACTTCTGAATATACAAATGTTTGTGTGTCGTATTTTCAAGAGTTTTTTTTCCGACGAACAATTTTACTGGTTCTCGATGTCTGCTACCACTTTTGGGTGCTATGATTAGGTATTGTATCAATTAAATAACGAAAGCCGGTTCAGATGTTGCAGATTTGATATTGGTCTTGATCTTGAACTAGGGAAATGATGGCTTCTTTCCAGGCTTTGATTCCGATGAAGAATATTTTGTTGGGGCGGTAGACAGGGGCGTAGGGAGATGGACCTGGTTCCATAGTGGTGATGAGGTCGATCATGTCCTAATGACTCCAAGCTACCACGCGCACAAATACGACCATTGTGCTACTGTCTACTTTGAAGACGACGACGATGATGTTGATTATGACTACTTTGGAATTGACAACGTCTTTTGTGATGAAGTGTTCCGACCTATGTGTGAAGTTGATCGAGTGTAGAAATAGCAATGCAAACGATGTCATTAAAATATGCGTACATGGATTTTGTTGATGCTTATGCTTTGCTTTTTTGTAGACATTTCAGAAGCAATGACACCCAATACTGATTCTTGAAAATTGTTCAAATGCTTTTATGCCATAGGAAGGAACTATAGTTGTGAAGATCCATGAACAGCACAGAAATAAAAGCATTAAAGCAAAAACTGAAATTACAACGGAAAACGAAATATATTTTTTAATAAGATGATCAATATCTGCAATTATCTGGCAATACAAGGTGTATAAAGTTCATTATGGTAGAAAATGTACCATGCATGACGTCCAGCTTGACTCCATTGAGCCATCAATATAATTGTAGTAGTAGCCGTCAAAATTGCAGCTCCACTTGACAATTCATAATTTTACTTTAATGAACAACATCAAGGTAAAACATTTCAGCGTCAAGTTGCCTTGTTATGTCGTTTATGGTCGTTGTAAATGACAGTGATTTACAGACAAATATGTCAAGACAATTTAGTTAACCCCACCGTACATAATAAAAGACAACTTTAAGACAATCTAAGTGAAATTATCGTTATAGATAGTAAACATTCATCATGATAAATATCATACATGTAGAATATCTATTAGTTTACATCAGTTTATTGTTAGCGTGACCATGTTAGCGATTTACATATATCAACATTAGTAAATACAGGTTTGTTTAATGTATTTCATTACTTCACATTGACATTGAAAGTTTTATTGTTTTACTTCGAAACCGGCTCAGTTGCTTTTTTTCGTCTTCGTTTTCATGTTGGGTGTGTTTGTGATCCGTCAAGACTTACTCTTCCTTCTTTTCTCTTTAGGGCTGAAATCTTGCTGTCGGATGAATGTCCCATTTCCACTTTCTTAGTGTATTATAATTGTCTTGACTAGGGATATAAGAGCTTGTATCTGTTTTCTCTTAGAAAAACAAAACAAATATATATCATTATCTAAAACGATGGAAACAAGAGGAAAATAAGAAGATTGATACCGTTCGTTTCAGGGTATGACCACATCGCTGACTATTACATAGGGGCTTTTGACAAAGGCATAGGCATATGGACATGGTTTAACAGCGGTGAAATGGTCTCTACAGATATAGTCGACCCAGATTATCATGAGCACACCATAGACCAATGTGCTGTGGCCATGGAAGTTAGCGTCGGGGCTCCGCTTGATCGTGACTTTGCCTATGTTGCTGCGCCATGTACGGAGTTGTACCGTCCGATGTGTGAAGTTTTGCGTCAGTGAAGATGACGTCAATTTAAATAACTGCGCTTGTCTGGTCTTGTGAAAAGATGTTTCCACGATTAAAAGAAAAGTTTTGATCAGATAATGAGTTTAAAGTTTACGACAGGATAGAATAAATGTTTAACTTTAACACATACGAATATGCGTAAAACCTTCACTAAAAGCCAAGGTTCAAACAAAAGATGTCAACATGCAAAGGTTGTAATGTTCAATCCATACGCAAACCAAACATCTTCAAGCTCTTGAAACATTTACAATCAAGAAGATTCGTACGTTTTGATATTTTTCAAGTATGTCTAATTATACTCTTATTTCATTTTAGCGTTTTGAAATTTCATCCAGTCTAAGGTTGAATTCCAGCCTCAGTTTCTTCCAGTATTCCAGGTTTAAGATTATAAATATTATAAATATCAGTATATATGAAGACATACATGGAATAGAAATTATGAGCACATTACAAACCTGACTGGGTCGGAAAAAAACGCGACTGACTTGTGCCGGAGTAGGAAGTTATAGACATCACACTTTAAAGAATTTAATTTTTACTACATGAAGTACAAGTGTGATGATCAACGTACATCAAAATGTCGTTATACGCAAAAAAAAAAAAAAAAAAAAAATACCAAGACGTCAATAAAATCATAATACAAAAACAAATAAATAAATTAAACAAAAATTAGGACAGAAAGGGAATTAAAGATTTGCAGAGAGACTCATGAGAAGGACAAGGAGAATAAGACAAGGTGCTCCAGAAGGATAATCGTTTTCTGTTTCATCAATGACGAGATGTAAATTGTGGTCAAAGGGCAAATCAAGAAGGTAATGTCGCGATACCAAATGAGAACAAGGGAACCAACATCAAACACATCCAATATTTCTCATGAAGATCAATATGATACCCGAAAAATTTTCACATCTTTTTCACCAATTTAAACACATGTTAACGCTATATGCTCTTCAGTATATTTAGTACAGTTATGAAAAATGGGCATCAAAGCGTCGTAATACAAAGATGGCACTAAGTACAAAAAAGATCTTCAACAATATCAATACATTAGTAAGAGGATATATAATAGTGTCACGTAAAAACACAACTAAAGGACATCATAACATTGCATTACAATGTCAACATATTTTCACGGAAGACAATCGACTTTTAGATCAATTACTTCTCTGTAAATGAGTTTGATATGATACTTTTAACAGATGAAATAGTTTCGATAAATTTGTTATCATACACCTGATGTTGTAAACAAACATTTTACAAAATATCTGAAACAAAAATACTCATCAATGCAATAAGAATATAAATACATTAATATAGCGACATAACTTAAGATGACATATGAATGATAACATATTTGACTATATGCTTTAACAAACGGAAGTATAACGCTTCGATGAATCTAGAGTACCTATGTCCGTACTTCACCGATTCATTGCATCATTTATCGATCTAAAAACAGACGACTGCTTTTGGGGTTACCGTGTCTAATTATAGAACATATTGTACATATGGATAATCCAATAAATCACTTGCTGCAAGACCTGCTTTATCAAAAAATGTGTTATGAATACATATAATACATAATAGAATCATGTCAGAACAAGCATGTAACGGTTTTTGAGATAGGATTCATTGCATTATGCCCAGTTTCCGAAAAGTTGTTATATGTATTCATTGTGTGCATAATTAGCATTAGACGCAGGGGAAAGTATAAAAAGATTATTAAGAAATCACGATCCAAGCGCTGTATTGACGTATGTCTGTCCAGTAGAAGTATCGGCGTAAATATTGGGAGGTGCTACAAGGGAAAGGTCAAGGCTGGCGTAGTTCTCTGGTTTTGACGTCACGGCTTCCGTATTCTGTGGCTGTTTCACTAGGGCAAGACGTCTGAAATACATCATTACAACATTCAAGCATCATGCACGTGCTGACTATTCCTTCTGACCGATTCGCAAATGCCGATTGAAATTTGCGACCATATTTCAAAAAGCTTTTTTACTTATTAGTTAGTTAATTTACAATATTTTTTCAAAAACTTTAAACAAAATTAACCCATATGTTTGCGTATAATATGCCACTAGTGTAACAAAACCTTGGCTGTTTTTCATTTGCTCCGGCAGTCAAGTTTCTTTTGTGATTAAATAAAATTGACAACTACATAATGACATGAATTAAAGATCTGAATCGGTCCTATATAGTAGCACGTTACTGGAACCAAGAGGATAACATTAAGATTATGTGTTTCCTTAAAAACAAAAATCTGACCAATATTGTCATGAAAGATTACCTGTGAAATGTCATGATATTAGATATACACGTTTTTTTCTATAAATGATTACCTGTACATGTGTAAGGAAATTAGATTTAAACGTGACCTTCTATAAAGTGTTACCTGTACAGGTGTAAGGGTATTAGATATATGCGTTACCTTCTATAAAAGGATTACCTGTACAGGTGTAAGGATATTAGATATATGCGTTACCTTCTATAAAGGATTACCTGTACAGGTGTAAGGATATTAGATATATACGTTACCTTCTATAAAGGATTACCTGTACAGGTGTAAGGATATTAGATATGTATGTTATCTTATATAAACGATTACCTGTACAGATGTAAGGGTATTAGATATATACATTACCTTATATAAAAGATTACCTGTACAGGTGAAGGGATATTATATCTATACGTTACTTTCTATAAAGGATTACCTGTACAGGTATAAGAACATTAGATATATACGTTACCTTCTAAAAGGATTTCCTGTACAGGTGTAAGGATATTGGATATATACGATACCTTCTAAAGATGAATACCGGTACAGGTGTAAAGATTTAAGATATATACGTTACCTTTTATAAAGGATTACATGAGCTACAACGGAAACACCAATCAGCAGCGTTGTTACTATTAATGGGGCGACCACAGCACCTGTATACCACAAATGGATTATGATATGTCAGGTCTTTTAGGTACAAGATTGCTATTAATATTGCAATTTCTGATGCTAACATTTTCATATCCAGGCGTTCCACTTTGAGCCTAGCATAGCTCCTTATTTTGCTTAACACTATAGTCTGGGATGAATACCGCCAAAAACTGATAAAATCATACTGTAAAGTGTGAAATCAAACAGATCAGTATTTCTTTTTATCTCGTTTACGTATCAGTAGATACATTGTATGGATACATATCCAAGCCGCAGGGGGTTGCTACGAAATATGTCAAATCTGTCTTTCAGATTCATGATCTGGCAAAACAGAAGCTATCAAAATGGAAATGGACTAGAACGTTTACAACGATAAAAATATGATACATACTCAATGGATAACCGTGTTCCTGATGTAGTTGAACACATTCTTCCAGGCATGATTTGTTAGATGCAGCTTTAAATGTAGTAGTTTCCCTTGTGTAAGAAGTTGTCTTCCTTGACTGATTAATTGTTGTTTCACTTGATGGACGGGTTGTCGTCCTCTCCCCTGACCGAGTACTTGTGATTAATTTCATCATGGTTGTGTGGGTGGCTGGAACGGTGCTAGTTGTTGTACGCAGAGAATTTGTTGTTGATTGGCTTGATAGGGTATTTTGTTTGTAACAAGTAAAATGCATGTCAAGAGGATTTGCGTTATCTGTGAAAAAGATTTTTTCTTTGTTTTAAAATCACTTTCGACAAAAAAACCAAACACTTAAAAATCAAACAACAACAAACTTTAAATTTAAGAATAAGTATTAAACATTTTCTTACGATGTTTGATCTTAACTGATAATTAAGAATCACCTCAAGTACTTACCTGATTTTATATAGATACAGTGCCCAGACTGCCAATGTGTACTGTTGTCTGCCCTTGTTAGCGTCAGATGCAACATGTCTGTCGTCCCAAAGTTGTTGAAAGGAGTAGCAGGGATTGGGACACAACCAAACCGAGAAAATCCACTAGATGTAGTAGATGTAATACGAAGACGACTACCACAATAAGACAAAGGTGCTATTCTCGGGTACTCCTCTACTCTTATTGTTGTTGTTGATGTAGATGGTTGTGATGTTGTATCCAGGGTAACAGTACAAGTACAGCTGTATATATCCGGGTTTCCTGTATCCCAGGTGTCTATCACCACACGTGTATTAGTTAATGATCCACCGCCACACATCCTCATTACTGTAAGGACAATAGTAATAACATGATCAGCATGTAAACATGCAGATTGCTCTATATAATGACATCTTAAAACTTTTCCCATGTGTATTTTTAACTAAGGAGTCGTTTTCAAAAGCCCTCCCCTCCCAGATACAACAAATCAATCAAAATATGGGTTCCTTTCTGCCGTCACTCTACATTACATTACATTACATGAAGACCGGAAATAATACAATGTTTCAACACTTACAGATACTGCTGTTAAAAGGGGGAAACGCATATTTATTTTAAAGTTCCACTGTGGTAGCGTTAATCAAGCTAAACCTTAATGTTATACGCTCTGGTCAATGATGCATTTTGTAAATTGCATTATTGTGTTAATATACTAACGGAAAAAAGAAACTGTGCATCACTAAAATTTAATTATCTCAGAAACTACAGAACGTTTCTCAATAAAATTTCATGGGCATATTTATCGTGTCATACCACACGCTATCACGTGATTAGGTCTCCTACCGCACGTGCATTTTGCGACCTACCCGGGCAATATGATCAACACCTAATTGGAAGGCAAACACGTGTAAGTGAATACCTATCGTTATTTTTGTGTCAATATCCCTCTGTGGGTACCATATGAACCAAAAAACATCCTAGTTTCAAGAAAAAGCGATTTCTGATAATGCCACGGTTGACGGAAAATGAGCGTTTGCGGATAATCGGCATGTTTGAGGCAGGAATGACCCAAAATGACATCGCACAGCGTTTCAATGCCCATAGGAATACCATACAGTTTCTAGCAAGACGTTATCGGCAATATGGAATCACTCGGGATAGACCTCGTTCAGGACATCCGCGTGTGACGTCACATCAACAGGACAATTACATACGGTTAACGCATCTAAGGGATCGTTTCCAAACGGCCAGTTTAACGTCTAGGAACATTCCTGGACTAAGAAATATCCACCCAAGAACCGTCCGTAACCGATTGAGAGAACACGGAATCCGGCCGCGACGCCCCGCCATACGTCCTGTATTGCAGCAACGTCATCGCCAAGCAAGATTAGCGTGGTGCTGTAGGCATATCCGATACACCCAACGTGAATGGACGGGTATTTTATTCACGGACGAGTCGAGATTTCACTTAGACAGCAGTGACGGCCGTAACAGAGTGTATCGCCGTGTTGGAGAACGATTCCAAGATGCCTGTGTCGTAGAATGACGTTCTTTTGGTGGTGGCAGTGTTATGGTCTGGGGAGGGATCACTACCCATCGCAGAACTCCTCTTGTGTTAGTCCAAGTTAATTTGACCGGGATTCAATCGAGCATGTGTGGGACGAAATGGAACGTCGTCTACGTCAGCTGACTAATCAGCCAATGACGTTAAATCAACTCGGCCAAGACTTGATCAGCGTGGAACAATATTCCCCAGCACTTCTTCGGCACATTAGTTCGCTCCATGAGACGTCGTTGCCAAGCTCGCATTGACGCAAACGGTGGACACACTCGATATTGACATTGAGAACTCGGTTTTGACCCCATAAGGATTTGAACCCCTGTGGAATGAATTGTTACTCAAATCAATTTAAAAAATCCATATTGATTTTGTTGTAATGAAATCAATAAAGCAACATGCAAACTTTTAACCTAATATTATAAGAATTATAGATTTTATAAACCTTTCTCCGGTTTCTTTTTTCCGTTAGTATATATTAGGCTTTATTGATGGTATTCATGGTTAGACTCAACTGACTATAATCTCAAATCACATTTTGAAAATTTTTGAAGCTGTATTGTTGAATGTCAGTACTAAATGCCAATGTGTACATATAAAGCATACAACATTTTGTACATGCTATTTATAGCCAATTCATTTCATATGAACTTTTGACGTCAGTATTTCAGTACTCTTAGTAATTTTAGTTTCTGTATCCTTTTATTCCTTATATTTCCAATGTAAAATACTATTGTCCTTCATACAATTATACAAGTATCAATTATTCAACTGTACTTTATACCATGGTAGAAATTGTCCATAGCAGTCTGGTCAGTACATGCCGTTGTGTTGATACCTGCAAGAGATACTCTATAAATAGATGCTGTATAACATTTACACTGATGGACGAATCAATACAAATGATCACGACACTAAATGTTCACATGATGTATTTATCAAATTGAATAGATGGTAGCATACGACAAGGACAAACAAATCAAATTTTGTCAAGTAGATTTCATTTAACGAAGAATAGAACGAAAGGACATTTTGAATCTGGTAAGATAACATATGATTCCAAAACATTAAACTATAACATCTAATCAATATGGGCAACGAAATCAATTTCAAAAAGAAATGTAAAACACATCAAAATGAACTTATTCATAAGGATTGGACTGATACTAATTATATACATAAAGCTAGTTGATTGTACCACTACGATGATGTTCAGTACCAAAGTATAGGTTAGTGTTTAACTTACTGGATATTTTTCATCTATGTTTCCTTTTATTGAAAACCACAGTAAATATCTTCTATGTTTTGATTTTATAATAGATACAGTATTTAAAAAACTGTCAATATTCACATTTTTTCCAAAACTAAATTGACCATTATTATTTTTGAAAGCAGTTAATCAAGATCTCGTAAAACTTTTAATAAAATTTACCAGTCTTCTACGTCTACTCTAAATATAGACACTGTTGAAAACTACCTCTCTGAAATTTACTTCCTCTTTGCTATTACCTGTGAAATGTGACATTACAACCACAATCATACATGCATATCCCAGAGAATTGGATCTGTTTCGTCTATCTGTCATTGTGAATGATACTCGAAAACGATACTATTGGTCCAGGAAATGATTTAACCCAAAATTCAACTATGACTACATCCAGACTTTGAAGAAGGAAGTAACTGTACTTCTGTTGAAAGCCTGTACCGGATCACGGCTAACTGAACATAGATACTTTGTGTTCCGTTTATAAGGTATGTGTGGTGGAGTGTGTGTATGTATAAATGATAAATGGGTAAACGGTCTTATCCGACCAGATCTAATATAGAAATGTCCTCGTATTCAAAAGGCTGACTTTTCACTTGAAAAATACAACTGACAATTGAGAAGCTTACAGTTGGTGTTGCAAGCAACAAAAGTCCCCTGACATGTTATTATTAGCATTTCTAAAGCAAGTTATCTGGAAACCAAAAATCTATTATTAACAAAAGTGACCTTTGTAGTTAACCATTTGACCCAAAAACAATCTAACATTATGTCTCCTACTAAACTAACATTGTATCAAGTTTCAAACTAATCGGTCATCTCTTACTCAAGTTATCACCTGGAAATCATCCGGACAGACAGATAAAATAGTTCCTTCCGGTTTAACCACTTAAGTGTGTTTCGCATAACGTATATAGTAATTGGAATGTTTCAATTCATTCGAATAGCGATTTGGTTCAGAAAATGGGTAGTTAAGGCACTCCCGATCTGTTTTTTCTGGGTTTCGGTTTTGACATTATTTCCACCAATGAAGTATTCTTACTTCTCTTGTTTAAAACCGTAGTACGTTAATATCACTAACAAGTCACAGAAGGAAGAAACAGCTGTAAAATGCAGTTATACTGAAAATTCACTACTTGTTGCTTCTCCATCTAATTATTTTGTATTAAAAGATGCAGTTCAAGTATTCACTACAAATATGTAGTCTCCGAAGTTTATAGTAATATCCCCTCGTAAGACGGCCCATGTGTGGCCATCCTACAGTGTGTTGGTGAGTTGCATATGTTTTGAAGTAACGTAACGTAATTCTCTTTTAAAATGTGACTTTAGATTAAATATAGTAAAATAAGTATTCGGCATTGTCAAAAAATAACGCGAAAAAATTCTATTCGGAATTGTATTAATACTTAATTCCCTAGTTACAGCGCAACACTCAATTTCATTTCAATTCGTAAAGCATAAATCATGCTAATGTACTATAATAAATCGACGACGGTTGAGACAAATTCACATTAAAGAAGAAAGGTAGCTCGAGTTTTGCAAGTATGTTATATCACAACTTTACATTTGTGCTCTGAAACTTCTTAAATGTCTCCAGTCACAAACTATTGCTTGTAGGAATCGGTGATATCACTTAAAGTGTACCCTGAGAGTAATTTTATATTTAGATATAATGTTAAGAATGCCGTAAAAAGGTCAAGGTCGCCTGGACCTGGTCAGTCGGAGTGCGTTTGGGCTCTGTGATTTCGTCCAATTTGGCTATATTTCCAAAAACAGGAGATGTTCATTTTTGGCATGCAGTAGTGTGAAGTATCGGTGAAGCCAATTTTTATTACCTTTTCTGTGAAAGTCTTTGGAAAAAGATGTTTTAGGAAAAGACATATAGAACAATGGACTGACAACTGGGAGTGACGACTGTTCGCGCGCACTAGTATTGTGTGTATATATTAGTACTGTACTTTACCTGCACGATTTAGGAATAAGATATTTAGATTTGATAACCATGCCGTGATCGAGGACCAGTGTGGGAAGCGGGAGGACGGGAAGTAAAGGCCGACCCGTGGATATTGTTAACGAACCAGTAGAGAAAGACAGGGTAAAGGAACTTTTTCACATGATATCAGCACTGGTGACCAAATCTGATATGGATAAGATAATGGACAGAAAGTTGGAAAGATTAAGAGAAGATATTAGGGAGGAGAACCGTGTGTTGGTGGATCAGTTAGAAGGACGAATTTTCGAACTTGAAAAGGAAAACGATGTTCTACGAGACAGGGTGGAGAAGCTGGAGGACCATGTGAGAGAGTCCGAGAAATTCAACGCCTCTCTTGACTATAAGTTGAACGACTTAGAACAGCACGGCAGAAAAAATTCCATCCGTATTGTTGGACTGGAGGATACTAATGAACGAGAATCGGTGGACGAATGTGTTGGAAAAATTGTGACTTTTGTGCGGAACTCCCTCGGAATCGACATAGAGCAGCAGGACATAGACATTGCCCATAGGGCGATACAACAGAGAGAAGCCGCGAACCATAATCTGTAAGTTAACACACAGGAGGAAAAAGACTGAGATTCTCAAAAACCGTCGGAAGCTAAAGGGGAAGAAACAACTGGTGTTTGAAGATCTGACAAGAAGAAACCAAGAGATATTGAAAGAAGTTTACAGACTTAAGAGTGTCAAACATACCTATAGTGTGGACGGAAAACTTTTTGTAGTTTTGTCAAATGACAAGAAACGTAGATTGCGTTATGACACAGAATTAACAGATCAATACTTGACGGAGGACAACAATTTCAGGACGGAACTTTTCGACTGAAATGTTAATATCTTGTGAATAGCAAGCGATGTGATCGATGGTGGATTTAGGTACGACTCAGTACCACCAGAGAGGGACTTTCTCTGGTTTTATCGATCAATCCTTGGTGATATTTTTTTCTTACTCTGGCTTGTGTTTGTGTGTGTTCTTTATGTGTGTTTTTTATTCTAAGTTAATTGTGGATGGTATACAGTGGGGAAAAAAACATATAGACCGGTAAGTCACTTATTTTATCAGTATTACTATTATTTTCAGCGTATCATATATTTTTCTATTTATTAATATTATTATGTGGTACTAGGTTTATCGTTTCTTCAGTTGCATGGATTGGTGGTTATTTTTCTCTGTTGTGTTGAAATTATTGAAGTTGCTAGTATCTGTGCGTTTGGAATTTTCCGCATTTTATTTTAACTATTATTATAGATCCGGAAAATAATAAACGCCGTTTTCCGTTGTTTAGAGTATAGTATACTACTTCCGGTGTATACAATATTTTTGTTCGCTTGCATGTACGGTACAGATTTTTGCATGAAATGTGAGTGCGTAAGTGGACAGTTGCACCTGTAGACCTTTTTATGGTATGTTTTTTATTTCTCATCTTTTCTCTTCTCCCCATCTTTACTTCTGTACTCTTTGGCTGGGCTAGAAAATGTATTTCAAAATGCTGTAAACGTAACATGATTGGGGATGTATCCATTTTGTCTGCGAATTGTCAAGGCCTAGGGGATAGAATTAAAAGGAAAGACCTCTTCTCGTACTTAAAAGCTAAGAATTATTGTATTTACTGTCTGCAAGACACCCACTTTACGGAAGAAAATAAAAATTTTATTAGAAATGAATGGGGGTTTGATTGTTATTTTAATTCCTTTAGATCAAATTCAAGAGGGGTAGCTCTTTTTATTAATAATATTTTTGAATTTAAGGTTAATAAAGAAAAGAAAGATAGCTCTGGGAATTTCTTGGCACCTGATATTGTATTGGAGGGTACAAAGACTACATTAATTACTTTATATGGCCCAAATATCGATTCGCCTATCTTTTATGATATTTTAGCTGATACCATTGAGGAATTTGGTAATGATAAGTTCATTATATGTGGTGACTTTAATTTAGTTATAGATCCTGGCCTAGATTATGACAGTAGCTACAAGACGATAAATAATAAGAGGGCAAGGGAGAAAGTTTTGGAAATTATTGAAAGTCACTCCTTAGTTGATATCTATAGGGAATTGCATTCAGAAAGAAGATATACATGGAGGAGGAAGAACCCACTGAAACAGGCTAGATTAGATTTTTTCCTTATTTCAGACAATTTACTATCGAGTGTCACTTATGCAACTATTGAACCGGGATACAGGTCAGATCACTCATTTCCTTTACTTAAATTAAAATTTAGTGAATTTAAACGAGGAAAGGGGTTATGGAAACTTAATTCATCTTTGCTCTATGACGAAGCATATCTTAACTTGGTTAAAAGTGTTATTTTACAGACAAAAACCCAGTATTGTCTTCCTGTTTACAACAGAAACAATATAATTAACATTCCAGATACTCAAATTGAATTTTTAATTGATGATCAACTTTTTCTTGAAACATTGTTAATGGAAATTAGGGGCAAGAGCATTTCTTATTCATCATTTAGGAAAAAACAGCAAAATAAAAGTGAAGATATTATTAATAAAGAGATACAGAGGTTGGAGGAACAAGAGCAAGTAGATACTGAAGAATTAGAAAATAAGAAGAAAGAATTAGAAAATATTAGACTTAAGAAGATTAGAGGTAGTATTGTAAGATCTAGGGCAAGATGGCAAGAAGAAGGTGAAAAGCCGACTAAATATTTTTTTAATTTAGAAAATAGAAATTTTATCTCTAAAATAGTACCAAAAATAGAGAAAGAAACTAATGTCATAATAACACAGCAGGAGGATATTCTTGAGGAGGTACGTTCTTTTTATGAAAAATTGTATGATGACAGTAGTGAAATAGAAGATGTTGATTTTACAGAATTTTTAGATGTATTTGATGTTCCAAAATTAGATAATGATGAAGCTAAAAATTTAGAAGGGTTAATTACTGTAGAAGAAGCAGCAAAAACTTTGAAAAACATGAAAAATAACAAAAGTCCAGGTACAGATGGTTTTACAGTTGAATTTTTCAAATGCTTTTGGAAACAGCTAGGAGTTTTTATTGTTAGATCAATTGATTTTGGATATGGTAAAGGTTTGCTTTCTGTAACACAGAGACAAGGTCTTATTACTTGTATTCCCAAGGGAGATAAGCCCAGACAGTTCTTGAAAAATTGGCGACCCATAACATTACTCAATATTGTTTGCAAAACAGCTTCAGGGTGTATAGCAGGTAGAATCAGAACAGTTTTAGATAAGTTAATTTGTGAGGATCAGACAGGTTTTCTTTCAGGTCGCTATATTGGAGTAAATACTAGATTAGTGTACGACATTATGCAATATGCAGAAGAAAGATATATTCCAGGAATGCTATTAATGTTGGATTTTGAGAAAGCTTTTGATTCAGTTTCATGGAAATTTGTTGACATAGTTTTAAATTATTTCAATTTTGGTCATGATATTCGAAACTGGGTCAGATTGTTTCACACTAATGTTACTGCGGCCGTAAATCAGGTGGGCAATCTATCTTCTTTTTTAAATATTAAAAGAGGCTGTTGTCAAGGTGACCCAATAGCTCCATACCTTTTCATACTATGTGTTGAAGTATTAGGCATCAGACTTAGAAATAATAGTAAGATTATAGGTATCAATGTGAATAACTGTCCCATTCTCCTTTCTCAATACGCAGATGACACCTCACTTATATTAGATGGTTCGAAAATGTCTTTAAAAGAATCTATTGTTGAATTGAAATACTTTGCAAAGATATCAGGTTTAAATCTTAATGTCGATAAAACCCAGGTAATTTGGGTAGGTAGCAAAAGTTACAGTGACGATACTTTTTTACCTGAATTAGGCTTGCAATGGGGAAGGATCAAATTTAATATGCTAGGAATAGACTTTAGTGTGAACTTACATGAGATCCCCAGATTAAATTTTGATAAAAAAAATAATTAAATTGAAAACACTCATTAAATCTTGGAGTAGAAGAACACTTACACCTATTGGTAGAACAGTCTTAATACAATCACTTCTTCTTTCACAGTTCAATCATTTATTTATAGCTTTACCTGATCCTGATGAGCAGTTTTTGAAAAATCTCAACTCAGTCTTATTTAACTTTTTGTGGAATAGTAAGGTGGATAAAATTAAGAGAGATATCATCACCCAGAATTATTATGATGGTGGTCTTAAAATGGTTAATGTTAGGTCATTTATAGATTCTTTAAAATTAGGATGGATAAGAAGGTTATATCAGAAAACATCTAAGTGGCAACATATTTTTGAAACATTTACAGACTTGCATAAGATATCTACATTTGGTAATGCCTATATTCAGGATTTCAAAATAAATGCAAAAATATGTTTTGGAAGGATGTGTACAAAGCTTGGGTTAGATTTAATGATTCAGATGCAGTAAAGGAAAATATGGAAAACTCAGTTTTAACATCACCATTATGGTATAACAGGAATTTAACTATTGCGAAAAGTACTATTTTTTACAAGGCTTGGTATCAGAAGGGAGTAACAATAATTCATGATTTAGTAAAAGATATAAACACTTTCTCTTTTTACACATTTCAAGAATTTACAGAAATTTATCAAGTTAAAACAAACTTTCTTCAATATAATGGTGTGATCTCTGCTATTAAATTATTTCTAGGAAAGGTAGGTTACAAAAAGCAATTAATTTGCTACCCAATTATCCCAAGTTACATATTTTTTTTCTTGAAAAAAGTTATGGGGACCAAGGATTTATATAACCTAATGGTAAAACACAGTCATGTTTCTACAGGTAGGAAGAAGTGGGAAGAAATATTTGAAGATATTGATTTGAACTGGACTGATATTTATAAAAATCCCTTTAGAGCTACAAAAAATACAAAGTTACAGTGGTTTCAGTATAGAATAGTGCAGCATATTCTAATAACAAATGTATACTTGTTTAAAATTGGGTTATCAAATAATCCTATTTGTCCTCTCTGTAACTTGGAGAGAGAAACAATTATTCACATTATGTGGGAATGTCGAGAAACTCAGAGATTTCTGTTTATAGTTGAAACAGTCTTTGATGCACTTTTGATACCATTTTCATTTAATAAGAAAAGTTTTCTTTTTGGAGTTACCTCGAGTCATGAGAATGTTTTAAGAAATAGGGTGGATAATGAAATTTTAATCATGATTAAGTCTTATATATATAAGACAAGATGTCTACATAAAATTCTAAATCCAAATGCTCTGATAAATTCAATTAAAGAGCATTACATTTGTCAAAAATATATTGCAAATAGTCAAGGTGACCATGCACGGCAGATTTTAGAAAATGAATGGAGGAAATGGAGAAGGTTATTAGAATTTGGGGAGAATTAAGTTGTAATTTGTACTGTTTTAATCAGTTTGGTTGTGATTATGAGGGCCTTTTACTTATCAAGTATCTATTAACATTTTACTCCTCCTTGCAGACTAATTTAAATTGTGTGTGAAAGCATCAGTGATAAGGTAATTATTTTACCATATGCATATATGATTTGATTTTCTTTTTAAATGCATACCTAACCCAACCACTCCTCTCTCTCCCCCCTCTCTCTCTCTCTCTCTCTCTCTCTCTCTCTCTCTCTCTCTCTCTCTCTCTCTCTCTCTCTCTCTCTCTCTCTCTCTTTCAGTATCTTAGTATTAATAAAGAATACCTCTTTCTGCAGTGTTTTTTTTTCACTTCTGTGGAAAGTATGAAGATGTGTGTGAGGATGTATGTACAATGTATGTTTGTTACAGTATTTTTGTTAATATGGTGATTGTGTTGATAATATTAATGCTGAGAAAGTGTATGAGGAAGTGAGGGTGTGAAAGATGTATGTGTGAGGATATGATTGATGAAAAATTATGATTATATTGATTGACAAGTATAAATTGAAGAGTATGATGATGTTGTTAATGATGACGCTATTGATAATGATGATGACGATAATGTTGATAATGAAGATGATGATGGAATGATGGATGACTACGATGTTGGTGTTGATGATGATGATGATGATGTTGATGATGACTGTTGAGGATTGTGGATGAAGATGTTTGAATGATTGATGATGATGAATGATGATTGATGATGATGATTGATGATATTGGATGATGATGATCAATTATTAACATGATGATGATGATTGTTGATGATATTGATGATGATGTTTGAATGGATGATGATGATGATGATGATGATGATGATGATGATGATGATGATGATGATGATGACTGTTGATTGTGGTTGATGATGATGTTTGAATATGGATGATGATGATGATGATGATGATGATGATGATGATGATGATGATGATGATGACTGATGATTGTGGTTGATGATGATGTTTGAATATGGATGATGATGATGATGATGATGATGATGATGATGATGATGATGATGATGATGATGATGATGATGATGATGATGATGATGATGATGATGATGATGATGATGATGATGATGATGATGATGATGATGGATGATGATGATGATGATGATGATGATGATGATGATGATGATGATGATGATGATGATGATGATGTCATGCTCTATATGATCTTTTTGAAAAATAAATGAAATATAAAAAAAGAATGCCGTAAAAATAATAATAACGAAAACCCCGTCAAAATCCGTCGCCCCAGTGTCGAGTTATTAAAGCTCAAAGTTGTCGATTTTCACCTGTCCGCCAAGACCTAATCAGCCGAATCGTCATTTCCGCGGAATCGAGGCTCTTCTACTCGTGACGTCATAAGTTCAACAGAAATGGCAGCCAACATGACCGACAGTGACAACGACACCGCATCTGATAGGGATTTAAATATGAGTTTTGAGGAGTCTGATTATGGTGTGGATGATATTACTGAAGACGGAATCCAGCCCTACCGATTTGAACTGGAATTACAAGACGATGTATCCAGTGAGGAGGAAAATGACCCTTCGAAAAGTGACGATCGCTTGGGCAACATAGATTGGCACGTACTTCACTGGGTCTTAAAAGTAGTCGTGAAAGTAGTCGAACAGTGAATCGTCGTTTCAAAGAAACAAAATAAAATTAGGTTTGATTTTGGACTAATTTTACTATCTTCAAGTCTCGATCAACAATTTCTGACGTCGGGAAATCGGGTTTGTGCAAGACTATGCATACATTCACGAGGTGTCGGGAATTTTCGTACCGAAGAAGTTTCGTCCGAGGGGAATTTTCTTTCCAGGGGATTTTCGTAGCACCATGGATAGATATAGATAGGGTGTCAACAACCAATTATAACACCCTCCGCTGTGTTGACAATAAAAATTTGATGTTTTAGAAGTTTATACAATTATTTGACTGGTTTTTACCCTAGCACTGGTACGCGTCTGTTGTTAGCCGACAGGCGTGTCGCCTCACAGGTGTCACAGTTGTTTTTTCCAGCCACAGAGGTGCTAATTACCTAACCTGGCACAGGTGTGATTATGAGTTTAGATGACATCTCTACACTGTGAACTGTGTTTACAAAGCAAGATTGGTGATCTTATTGTTATTTTTACGATCGCAAAATGGCTAACTAACTAAACAACATCGTCTGCTGGAAGATCTAAAAACCAAGTAAACCTTATACAAACAACATACACACATAACCTATTCTATAAATTCTAATAATTCTATACTATATAGTAGTAGTATGAAAATTCTCGGGATGAAAATTCCTGTGACCCATTCACGACTAGGCCTTCTCCGTGTATTAGGCATTCACGATTACGAAGGAATAATATTCCAACGACCGCCAAAGTCATAGGCTAGCCTATCAATTTAAAATGTTTAGTTGTAGAATTAATAACAAAATATCAACCTAACAAATATACTTTTATTTAATCAACAATCAGTTTTATTTATCGACGTCATGCATCGACACCCCATCTGTGTTAGTGTTAGAACAACCATACACACCGCTTCCCTCCTCGATAGGAAGCCATTTTAGCGGATTTAAGCGCTAATTCACCGACCCCTCGTTCACTACCTTAGATATTGCGAAGATGTGAAGTACTTTCACGTAAAATAAACAAAGAAATTACCACGGAAAATCCCAAATTAGATCACAATCGCATGTAGCACAGTAAAGACAATATGCCTGCATCAACAAAAGCGTTGAACTTATGACGTCACAGGTTTGGGTGCCCGAAAACGAGGTCAACGCCTTTCAGCCAAAGGTGTGTTTTTCAGAAAAGTCGCAATTTCTCAGTAACGGAACATTCCACGGCATTCGCGATTTCGGCATAGTGTATTTTATGTGAAGAACTATTTTGCAAGGTCAACATAGCTGACCTCTCAGGGTACACTTTAATAGATAAGTGAGAAGTTTTGAAGAGACGGCCATTTTATTTAAATTCACTCGAATAACTGCATTTCCAAATTATATCTGTTATATTATATCTAGAGTCGCGCCATTACAATGCAAATTGTAACCTTTGACAAGTTAAGTCCGACTACAGGAAGACGTTTCATAGATCTCTATCACTCAGACGCTTAATATTCATGGTGACAAACCAAGTACATTTCACGTGTACCAACACACTTTACAGTTCTTATAGTTCTTCATTTGACCTCGGCCTAGATTTGGTCTCACTCTGACATTTTGTTGTCGTTTTGGTTACTTTGAGGACAAAGGCAGAAAAAACCTTTTTTCACGCTGTCCCCTTTATATTTTCTTATCAACTCCACTTATCACAAAATCAGCTTCCGGTACAATATCCGGATTTAAGTATATCAACAATGAAGAAACCAATTCCGGATTGGAGTTATCTCCTCTTAGACCAGTATTTACACTGTATTGTATATATAACAATTTATAGCAGTTTGGTTATGAAAAATATATATGCTTACAGGTATATATATTCATAAACTACATAACAATCATATTAACAGTAGAGAAATAAAAATTGTGTAAATAAAAAAATTCCTCTGTGATTGTCATGGTTACCAACACAAGAAATGATTAAAATGCAACAAATACAACCAATTTAGACTTCACACTACAACTTTGTAGAAGAATTATTTTCTGACCACCTGTCTTAAAATCAACAACGCTGTCATGGTAACAAACTTCTTACATTTCCGCAAATTTCGAGACTGCCCAAACAGTAATCTCCAACACAATGCAAAAATATTCTGAAAAATATGACATCCCACATTGTCCACTTCAACGTGACAAAACCAATTTTAGCATGGATTTATTTTTTTAAATCTTAATTGAAAACCTTATGATGGGGTTATCTAATGAACAAAAATATCACCTATTTCCTGACCGAAATATTATGTACTGCTACCATAGCTTCGTGTATGTATATAATAAATTTCGCACGTCTCCAGAACTTAATTGCAGTTTTGCTCTCACAAATTAAATGACACATGGCACATTCAACTTCAGAGAATTCATACAGTATGAAATGCTCTTTATATGCCTGTGGTTGCTACGTTATTAACCAGTTCTCTCTAGGTCTATTCACTTGTGAGTCTTTTGTACAATCTTTGAAAACATGACGTTACTTGTAATGACCAATATCTATATGGCACGTGTCACCTATAAAGTATATGACGCTTATTCTTCCGGAACGCCTGGTCTTATTCAATGTTCTGCGTGTAACGTGTTCTTTTGATCACTTTCCTTTTGATAGATTTTGCTACTGAATTAAGGCTTGTCATATCACTTTTCTTCTTTTCTTCTGTGTTATATTCATTGTTCTTTACAATAAGGCAATTTACACACAGATTTACTGTCGAAAGTTTGAGTAAACTATACACCATTTAAAATGTCAAGGGCAGGTAGTACTGAAAAATCATGTAATTACGACGTGTTCATCGCCTCATTGACGTAAGTTTGTGTAGAAGATATTTCCTCGTACGTATTTGGAGGTTCAACACGTGACTGATCAATAATGTCGTAGTGGGCAGGAAGCGGGGCAGTCATTTCATGTTTCTCAGGTCCCGATTTACTCACCAGCGTACGTGGCCTGGAAAATTGTATAACAAATAGATACATATGTTCTACTGTTCGAGCGATAAATAAAAAAAAAAGTTTTTCGCGATGAATGTTAAATACAGTGAAAATATATGTGATATTTCCATTCAATGAAAATGCTAAGTTGTCTTATTTTCCTTCATTTTTGACAAATCAGGTCACGGTATTGGCAGTGATAACATTGTATTCTACCAGACTGTATTGCAGACTTCAGGAACAACTCTGATCACATAAAAAGGCAGGTAACTTGTTTTATTGTTGTATAGTGATACCGACCAATATTAATAAAATGATTAATTCATGTAATGCATTTACTAAGTTAAAGTTTACATAATTAAAGGTTTATATCTTTGGAAAATATGTTATCCATCGACGTAATAATAATGGAATGATCATAGAGACAGATCAGACCGAAACCAACATCAGTGACGGATTGGAACAATGCAAAAGATTGTTTCTTGCCGAAAATATTTACTTTTCAGTTGGAAACTGAAGGAAAACTTCCCAACCAAATCGGTCAAATATAACATAAACAAGGAAAATGTTAGTGTAAAGAGTGAGAATTCGAACTAAACTCGAAGACATTCATATCCTCTGCTTATATCTAATATGTGTATATTATTTTTCTATTGTAATAAGATAAGGATTAAGATGCTGAATTCCACAAACTATAAAAACATGTATTGAAAATGAGAAACAAATCCTGCATAGACAGGGGGCCTTCATAAAGATGTTCGATTACTATCCATTGAAATTACTTCGTAAACTGAAAGAAATGGTCTTAAGGTGAGGAATTTGCAATAACACATCAGTTTAAAGACAGGTTTGACTGCATTTCAAACACAAAACCACGGAAATATACACATACCGTTTATAAATGATGACATTTGCTACGGAAGCCAGAGTCATCAACAGCAACGTTATCACTATTGGCACGATAACAGCGACTGGAAAAGGTTAATATAGAACAAATAATCAAAAACACGTGTAATGCTTAATATACGTGCACCTTGTGCAAACTTCTTGGGTTCGATTTCTACCG